AGGGACCAGCCTCCCTGCTGCCGTGTGCGTTGTCGGTGCTGGTCCCCCGCTGTCCCGGCCCGCGGGAGGCCGCGGCCGCGGTGACTGCGAAAAGCGCCGCCGTCAGCCGGCCCCGCTTTTGGGCTGCGGTGCTGGGGACTTAGCAAGTGCTTCCAGGGACATCCTCTACTCCAGTTACAGGGTGATCGGCCCTCCATGTGTTTGTAGCAGCTGTTCTGTTCTGTCCCATTATTTTTTCGTAAAGGTTAAAAAAACTTGCCCTCCCGCACCTCCTATGTGATGCAGCTGCCTACTTATAGGAAGTGGCTGAAGGGGTTGGTTACAGAACAAGGCTCTTTCTGAACTTCTGTGGATGTACAGTTTATGTCATTATGCGGTTTGAGAGCGTCATATAAACAGTTGAAAGTTTCGTAGTTAGAGGCAGCCTGAGGTGAGACTGACCTGAGAACAGGTGTGATGACAGACTGAGGTGGCAGAGCAACTTCTGCCTCTTGTGCCAGTCGGTGCCCACTGTGCTTCAGTCATGCTGTTCCTGCTTTGGTTAACTGGTGACAGTAACTGTGTGTTCATCTGTGTGTGACTGAATGCTTATTTTCCCTCGATGATAGACATAAACTTGTAAAACTAAGGGGTTCTTTTTTTTTTTTTTTTTCCTTTCTAGAGAAGCCATTTTGATCGGATTCATCATGGTCTTCAGGGGGTTTGTGCAGTGCCACAGAGGTCCTATGCTGATCAAGGTAATTTCTTGTGAGAAACCTTTTTTTTTGGCAAAAAAACCCCACCAACACAGATCCCACAAAAACCAGAACAATACTTCAAACTCAGAAATCAGTCTTCCAGAAGAAGTCCATGTCAGGGTGGAGATTTAGATGAAAATTGTAGTTTATTTGCATAATATGATTTCAAGCTAAAGCTGTAAATAAAAGGTGGAACTTCACCATTGTTATAAATTAATTAATCAGTATTAATTAATGTTCTGAAAGAGATTGTGGTTACAAGATATGAATTAGGTACAAAGTTCATAGCTTCCACTGCTTTATAATCAATAGAGGTTGCACAGATACCTATTGCAGGCATGTTTTCCCCTTTATAAATTTGTGGCATTCAGTAAGCATTTATGTTTTGTGCTAAACATCAATAGAGAGTATGTTGAAAAAATGTTACAGTAAACTATGGAGACATCTTGAGTTAAGTTCTTAAAGGCTTTAGAACAAGAGGGATGGGAAATTCAGTTTCTTGATGCCATTTTACATTATTTTCCTTGTGAAATTTAAGACTGATTATTTTTCTTGTGGGACGAATACCTTTACACAACTGTTCCCCATGTTCAGAAAGTTACTTTCAGATACAAGGCATAGCTTTCTTATTTAATCCTATTTCATTAACTTGCATAATTCTTAATATGCAGTTATTTTGCCAAAAAACCAATAACTCAACTATTCTATGTTTCAGTTGATGCTGACGTCACAGTTATTGGCTCTGGGCCTGGAGGATATGTTGCTGCTATCAAAGCAGCTCAGCTTGGATTTAAGGTGAGGCCTCGCTCAGATAGCAGAATACTCATCCAGGTGAACTTGAAAGGTGTCTGTGTAATACTGTAATTCTTCTGTCACATCATGGGCCACCAGATGCTGTTGGCATGTTTTGTTAATCTTTCCTTACCTTGCTTACACAGATTATGCAGAATTTGAAATGGATGTCTGTATTACTCTTTATAGCCCTGCTACTGACAGAGCTGCTTAGGAGAGCTTGGTTTTTGGTTGGAAGTGATAATTGAGGTGGGCTTACACTCTTGTGAAAGAGAAGGTGAGAAAACAGTGCTAGGAAGGATTTTTTCTCACAACAGAGGGAAAAATAAAGAGAAAATGAGTGACAGAAAGACCACTGGAAAATATTTTGAATAACAGATTGAGGGAACTCAGAAAGGGAAAAAGCCATATTCAACTGATAACACTTTTTGAACGTGATTAGTGGAATTCTACTGCCATGTGAGAATTTTAGAGGCAAAAATATGTATGTAGAAATACTGTAGAATCTTAGTTATATTTATTTATGTTAATCTCTTTTCTGCCTGTTGTCTTTGAACGCCTTTCAGAAGAGGCAGTTTGTGTCTGATGTGTACTATTGGTGTGTCAATTAATTATCGTGAGAGGTGTATGTGTATAATATATTTCAGATGGTTTTTAAGCTTACAAAAATACAAAATGTGATTTCAGGATGTTTTTTTGCTTTCACTTCTTAATATGAGACCAGCTGACACTCTTGGCATTACATTATTGTTCTCATAATTATCTGGAACTCTCAGAAGGTGGTGCTAGCAGTCTTGAGCATGTTTCTGCTGTTTGATATGTCACAATGTTTCTGAATTACCTAAAATAGACTTCATGACTGAAATGAGCTGGTTTGACCACCTGGCAAGGACCAGAGCTCCTGGTGATGAGTTCCAGTGAAGCACAGGAATAGGGGCCCATGCAGTATGTAGTCTTCATCTTTCAGAATTTTCAGAACTTGGCTGTACAAGGCCCTGAGCCACCTGATACATCGTAGAATCACATAATGGTTTGGGTTGGAAGGGATGTTAAAGCTGGCCTTGTTCCAACTCCCCTGCCATGGGCAGGGACACCTTCCATTAGACCATGTTATTCAGATACCCATCCAGCCTGGCCTTGAACATTCAGGAGTGGGGCATCCACAGCTTCTCTGGACAACCTTTTCCTGTTCCTCACTCATAGTAAAGAGCTCCTTCTTAAGAGCTGATGTAAATCTATGCCCTTCAGCTTAAGGCTGTTTCTGTCACTGAATGTGAAAAGTCCCTCCCCAGCCTTCTTGCAAGCCCCCTTTAAATACTAGAAGGTTGTTGTAAGGTCCTCCCAGAGCCTTCTCAGTCTGTCCTTATAGGAGAGCTGCTCCAGCACTGTGGTCAACTTGGTGGCTTCCTCTAAACTCACTCCAGCAGGTCCACATCTGTCTTGTGTCGGGGGCCCAGAGCTGGACACAGCACTCCAGGTGGGGTCTCATGAGAGCAGAGTAGAGGGAGGGAATCACCTCACTCAATGTCTTTGATGTTGACTCTTTGGAGAAGGAGGTCTGTAATTCTGAGTGTTGTCCCTCATTGGTCAGTACTCCCATAACTGGGTGTCAGTAGTATCTCTTTGGGTATCTTTTAGCCTTCTAATATGTAACTGTCCCAAAATATAAATGTTTGAGATTCCATTAAGTTGTACATCTGCCTGTGACCTAGTGCAAAATAATTGAGTTGTCTTTACACATCTTTGTGAATTACTGTTTTGTCATAGTAAATGCTCTTGCTTCTAGATGTATGTGGCTACTTCACTAGCAGCCTGAGAAAAAAAGGTGCTCAGTCCTGCAGGTTTTAATTAAGATTGTGGCTTTCTGCCTTGTGAGTTCATGTTCGATTATTCTAAAACTATTTTTGTGGCTGGCTATAAGCAGCTTTTCTTGGAACAGTACTGTCTTTGAGTGCTTCATATCTGTGAGTAACAATAGGATACCATACACAAAGGGGCTACAAAGTGCCCTGGATTCTGTTTTTTATCATAGTAAAAAATAATTATACTGTTAATATAATAAATACACTGTTTCATAGCTAGTTAGAGATGGGAAAATGCTTTGACATACTTCTGTATGTCGCCATTGTCATTGAATAAACATGTCGAATGTTTTTGATGCCCTTGAGGAATGTATGGAGATGTTTTTAGCAGACTGGCAAAAAGATTTCATAGTTACATCATCCATGGAAGAACCTGATTCTTCTGTACTGATTTACTTAAATTTCAATTTTATTGCTATTTCTGCTAGCACAGGCATTGAGTCCTTGTATAACCACCACAGCATCCCATGTTATTGCCAATAGTGTTCTCTGGATATTGGCTTTCCAAAAGCTTTGCATGGTCTTCTCAGTGAAGTTTATGTAAAACGGATGAGGCAGAACATTCTTATTGGGTAAAGGTAGGAGCAGTCTGGTGCTGTTTGATCCATAGTGCAGCTTTTAAATCCCTTGTGTTGTGTTTCGTATATTCATGTGCCTAAAACAAGAGGAGGGGGAGGTAGGGGATAAGCATGTCTCAGAATGGTCTTGTGATTTTATGTGATGAATTCTGTTTTTCATGTTACCATCATCCCTACCTTAGCACATAAGTAGCAAGTTGAAGAAATTGTGAAAGGGTTTCACCTAGGTAGTTGCCTCTCAATGGACTGGAACTCTGAAGAGTGTAAACCACTCTGAAGAGTGTAAAGGAACAATTATTTTGAATACGTGTGTGCCTTCCAAAGAAGGAGATGCCAATTCCTTTGTTCCTACAAAAATAGTTCAGGATACTTTCTCCCCCATTCTTGTCTCCCAGTGATCTGTTTTTATATGAAGGTTTGGCAGTTGTTTTTGTCCTTTGCACACTTTGATGTTGTCAGTTTAATGAGAAGGAGATGACATATTTTCCATCCCTGTTGCTATTGACCTTGTTTTTGTTTGGTTTTGCTTTACTTGATTTTTGTTTTCTCTTTCTTTATAGGTGTTGGTACAACTTTATAGCAGTGGGAGGAAATGTTGTTTGTGGCTTGGGGGTTCTGTGCTGTTTTGTTTTCTTTGAAGAAGATATTGCATCAAGGGATTTCAATCCATGCCAGTTCACTTACCAGTTGTTTTCTTGTTTTTATGAATCTTCACATGATTTACAGCTTTTTGCAGTTTTTTTCTGTAATTGTTAGGGAACATCCTTCACTGGACTTAGTGTTGTATTTGTTATTTACTTTGTAGATTTTTGTAGTAGGACAGCACTTGTATGAAAGTATGAATGGTGCATAGGCTGTTGTTTGGTAGAGAATTTGGTTGCAAAGAGCTACTTTGTGGGTTTTAAGTTAACAAAAAATGACAGATGGGAAATATGAGCCGTAAAATAGATCTAGGAATGAATTTAATGGGACACTTGTAGAGGTAAAATTACTAGACAAGTGGACAAATGTCTTTGTCATCAATTCTAAATTGTGAGGTAGCCTATAAGGAAATGATGGCATAGTATTACTAAAACATTCTTTTTTTTCCCCTCTGTTCTTTTTCCTCAGACTGTCTGTGTAGAAAAAAATGCAACGTTAGGGGGAACCTGTCTGAATGTTGGATGTATTCCATCCAAGGTAAGTGTGTATAGTTTATCACAGCTTCATTAAACAGTTGACATGATGTGCTTCACTTGGAAGGAGTTTCTCAAGATGGATGTACATGTACAGAATAGCCTGGAGGTGAAGCTGGTGATGCTTGTGTGGAGTAATGCACATATGGAGAGAAAGAGCTGAGTCCAACACATGCACTCAAAAAAAAAGACAAGCAAGAAAAGATTAATAGGAACTTCATATTTGACATTGCCAATCTAATTTAAAGTAATTTCAAACCTCAGCCTTTGAGGTGAGGTCTTGTTATCTCCACAAGAGCAGTGCTGTTGCTGGGGTATCTGCCTCAATAGCACCCAGCTGGTGAAGGAAGACACTGCTAATGCCAGGTTGTGATGGCTGTAGTACAGACATAATATTCTTAACAAGATCCCTCCTAACTGTATTGCTGTTTCTAATCCTTTCGCTCAAGATGTTCCATTAGCATGGGAGGAAAAAATACAGTATAAATACTATGTTTTTATTTTAATATTGTATTAATTTTTCTAAACATCTTAGTAGTCATTTTAATGAAGTTCAGAGTATCTTAATATATTGAAGCACCACTCAAAAATGTCAATCCACACCTTGAAATTTGAAACTTTGCTAGGATCTATTTAACTAACTTCTCACGTCCCTTTTTTTTTCGTTAATCCTTTAGGGTTATTATGAAAATACTATTAAACCAATGGCTAAACTTGAATGCTATCTAGAGTTTGTTTGAATGGCAATAAACTTAAGTAGTGGATATGTAGGCTGTGTACACCAAAGCTATAACGAATAATTCTAATATTCCTTTCCAGAAAACCATCCAAAATAATACATTTGGCATGGGTTTTTATTTTCCTTTCTTGTTGCTGAAAGTGATGGTTACATCTTTCAAGTAATGTGGATGTTACAGATTCAGGGCTGTGTCAGTTACGTGAAGTGGAAAAATTACTTTCAAAGACAGTTGATAAAAATTATAAAAATGGAATTATCTTATTAGTCTGTGCAAACTTGCACTGTTGTCCTTGTGAAGATACAGATCATTTCATATTTGGGGTGGCTATAACAAAGGAATCAATTTTCTAAGTAAGATCCTGCCTTAACTATATTGTTATTTCTAATTGAAATACAATTATTGAGGTTCTGAATTTGAAGCTGCTAATTTATAGCCATCCATATAAAAAAATATTCTAATTTTATCTATGGATTTGGAAGATCCATATACCTGAGCTAGCTCCAAACCATCCAGCTCAGCTGGCTATGTGGTTATAGAAACTTCAGCAGCACAAAGCCTCAAAATTTAACTCATATGTCTCCACAGGCTAAAATCTTAACAGGCACTTTAATGTTTAGTTTAGATTTTCCTTGTCCAGTTTTTCTGTATCTTCTCTTTGGCCATCAGTCAGAATTACCTTTCTTTTCCCCTGCTCAGTTTGTTCCTTCTATTTTTTTTAATCTCTGTGGAGTAATTACTGATTTCTATGGTGAAATGAGCAAAAAAGATAGGTGTGGATGTAACTGTTTTGTATTTCTATGTGAAGTATGTAACTTTATTGAGTATTTCAGTAGGAGCTACTGTGTACAATTTCTGTGGTTGAAATACGCTTTTTCAAATATGTATGTATCAAACTTAATAGTGAGAGCATTTTGCAAATAGTATAATTATTCTTCCTTATAATAAATAACTTTTTCTTGTGAATGTGTGTCCAAATTCATGTATTTGTATGTCTGTTTTAGGCCTTGCTGAACAACTCACATCTGTATCATTTGGCCCATGGAAAAGATTTCGCTAACAGAGGAATTGAAAGTGAGTGAAGAGCTCTCAGTGCCTCTTACATAAGTGGTTTCCACCAAGAAGTAAATTTAGTCTTTCAAATCTGATTAGTATGATTTTCTGTTCAGAAAATTTTTAGTTATAAATAATGTCCTTTATCTGTCATTTGGAGGCTTAGGGACTGCTCTTTGAACTCTGAATAATGGCTAGGTAAGTTATAGTTGGAAAGTGCAATAGTGGTTTTTAGCATAGCAGTTGTTGAATGTAAGCTTTAGCATTTAGTAGGGCCATTCAATACATCTTTCTGTGCCAGCTGTTAACTGTGTTGAGGTTAGCTCCTTTAACATTAACACACTGCAATGCCTGATGTAAGTTATTTTGTTTCAACCTTAGTTACAGGAATCCGTTTGAATCTAGAGAAGATGATGGAACAGAAGAGTAGTGCAGTGAAGGCCTTAACAGGTGGAATTGCTCATTTATTTAAACAAAACAAGGTTAGTTTGGATTATATAGTGAGGTATATCTATTTTTCTGATATGAATTTCTTACTTTTTACATTTTCGTACTACTGCATAAATTAGAGTTACTGATATGACAAGGGCAGAATTTGTGGCAGAATTCACTTCCAGAATACTTTTAAATGCTCAGTGCCTTCATTCTTAATCTGCTTAAAGGAGTAGTATTTGTACCACATAGCGATACAGAGAGATGTTTTAGCAGCAATTCTAAGCATTAATGAAATGTAGCCAAACTTACATATTTGAACCTGACTTCACTGTGTTCTGATTACTAAAGGTTGTACATGTATCTGGGTTTGGAAAAATAACTGGCAAAAACCAAGTCACTGCAACTAAAGAAGATGGCAGCACACAAGTTATCAATACAAAGAACATACTCATAGCCACAGGCTCAGAAGTTGCTCCCTTCCCTGGAATTACTGTACGTATTTGAACTCAATTGTACTTCCTTTTCAGTGTCTCATAGCCACATAATTTAATGTGTAATACTGGTTTGCACTTGATTGCGCTTCACGATCTGTGTGCTTTGTATATAATATGTAAAAGAGATTGTAAACCTCGCTTTGTCCATTTCTTTGTCATTAGATTGATGAAGATAACATTGTGTCATCCACTGGTGCACTCTCACTGAAAAAAGTTCCTGAAAAGATGGTTGTCATTGGTGCAGGAGTCATTGGTGTGGAACTGGTGAGAGGAAATTTAAACCACTTGACTTTTAATTTGTAATGGAAAAGGGTGTTATTTTTTGTTGTATTTGATGTTTCTGCTGTGATTTAACAGTTCAGTGAGTTGTAGTGAATCTGTTCAAACTTCATAGCCTGTGAGCTCCATTTTTTTACCAGAAAAGCTGGGATAAGTGTTTGCTGGGTCAGTACTTCCGCAGCCGGTTAGATAAGCAGGGAAATGAGAGAGGAGCATACAGGGCCTTGAATATTTATTTTTCTGTTTTGTAGGAGTAAGGATGTGGAGGGAATGCCAGGATAGTCAGGATAAATTCTTATGTTTAGTAGTTAATCTTAAGAGATGTTTAATGTGGTTTGATAGTACATATTCTATCAGCCAGAAGCATGGAGACTTTGTAGTTCATCATCGTCTGAGTCCTTTTGCATCACACCTACACGTTCCAGAAAGAATTTATATTTCCTGGTATTGCAGCTGCTGGAAGCTGTGTCCATCTGCTTAGCCTTCTGACCATTAATCTGGGCAAGAGTAAGCAAAGTGAAATTCTGTATTGGGTGGATATGGGTAACTGCAGGTAAATAGGGTGTACGTGGGTTTTGTTGATAAGGTTGAACATGGTTAAGGTTATAAATACAGACAGGACCAGCAGTGGCTCCATTTTGTTGCATAAAATTTGCTTAATGCGGTATTGTTTTGATTAATTAGTAATGGTATAAGAGCACCACAAGCAATTCCCTTTGGGTTTTCCTTTCAGATTCTTTGATTTTGGATTTCTTCTATACCTATAGTATAAAACACACAAGTTATGTTTTTGTTGGCTATTTGGTCATGGAAGTTTTCAGTCTGCAAATAAACAATGATAAATCTTTTTGTTGAAAGGCTGGGGAAAGTTGAACTTATTTTATGCTGTCATGTTTGTAGAAACTCACCAGTTTGCTGTTATGTGTTACCTTGTTCTAGAAGAGTTTATAGTCTGTTGTAAATATTACAGTAAAAGTATATGAAGTTTGCTTTTCAAAAACTCTTTTTATCTGTTTTGTGAATGCAGGGTTCAGTTTGGCAGCGCCTCGGTGCAGATGTGACAGCCGTTGAGTTCATGGGCCATGTTGGTGGAATGGGAATTGACATGGAGATCTCTAAAAACTTCCAACGTATTCTTCAGAAGCAGGGATTCAAGTTTAAACTGAACACCAAAGTTACTGGTGCTACCAAGAGACCAGATGGAAAAATAGATGTAGCGTAAGTGTTTAACATAAAACTAAAGGAATGCAAAATATATTCTTCCTCCCAATCCATCAAACGTGTTTCAAAATACAGTCTGATACTATTTTTTAAACAGGAATGAAAATTAATTCTTTAGTGCAGTTAAATGTTTATCTGCCTTTGTAACTTACAGACCTCATAATTTGGGTTTATTAAATCCTAAGTTGCTTATACAGGAGAGGTTCCATTGACTTGAGTTGAGGGCTTGCTGGCATAAAACCACTGTTATAATGAGACCAGTAATAAAAACAGAACTGTAAATCATTCTTTTCATGGAAGATATTTGCTTCTGGTATAATTAGGATAAATACCATGATTGTTCATACAGTAATTTCCAAGCCATTAATTCTTGACAATATGACAATTCTTGACATACTGGAAGGTCATCATGTCTTAGGGTAAGCATGGCAGAGATATTATTGTTCTTGAACAGAAATAAATGAAATTACCCAAAGAGTCTATTTTAATGGTTATACTCAAGACCTTTGAAGTTTCAGTGAGATGCGACTAATGTGAACAGTTAATACAGAAACATATAAAGCAAATTTGCTTAGTAGAAGTCCATAAGTATGCACTAGTTCCATTTGTGTTAATGGATTCTCTATGCAGAAACAAAAAGTATTTTTGTACTTCACAAAAATACTTGATGTTACTTCACAAAAATAAGCTTGAATGTTTTTTCACTGGAGACTTAATACGGTGACTTGTACTTGATGTATCACTGTAGCTTGGGGTAGTCTGTCATCCATCACTGTAAAGGTCCAGGACATGGGCTTCTTTATATGCCTTGCTGATGCTGGTTGGATCTCTCATGTAGTCTGTTCCTACTTTTAGAGTATCGTTTTGGTTCAGAGTATGCTTTTGAAGCGCACTTCCAATTATCCTCACTTCCCATGCTTTGGTTCTTGTGCTCTGAGTACATGAACTGATCTTGTTCTGGGTGCAGTTAAACACAAAATGCACTTGAGGGATGCATGGAATGCATGGCAGCTGCTAACACATGTTTGGTTCCTGGGCCAGAAGAAAGCTTGCTCAGAATACATGGCTCGACCCCATCCCAAAGCATATATACTTTGGGTGACAAGTACTCAGAAGCAATTAGTTTGCTTTACAGATTTGATCCTGTCCGGTCATGCTATTTGTTATTGAAAATACACCCTGAATTTCTCTCTAACAATTGTTAAGAAATGTAGTAAGAGGTGTTGCCCCTTCTTCCCTATTTTACTGAACTCTTGCAAGGAGGAAGCATGGGGAAGGCTGAATGAAGTACTTTGGGTGCCAGACCCAGACAGGAGGTCACCATCTTAGGTCATACTAGTTACTAGTCAGAGAGAGATAAGGCTGCAAGTTTACAGCTTAGCATTTTTGCTTCTTATTTTACTGTAGTGTTGAAGCTGCTGCTGGTGGCAAGGCAGAAGTAATAACTTGTGATGTGCTCCTAGTTTGCATCGGTAGGCGCCCTTTTACAAAAAATCTAGGTCTTGAGGAACTTGGAATTGAACTTGATAAGAGGGGAAGAATTCCAGTCAACAACAGATTCCAAACCAAGATTCCAAAGTAAGTAAAACTAATTTTTTTTTCCTTTTTTTTTTTTTTATGAAGAACATTTATTTTTAAAGTTTAACTTACTAGAGCACTTCTGGTTTTTAATTGCAGAACATATTTTCCTTTTCTGAAAAGAAAACTCAAGATATCTGTATCATTTCAGTACCTTAAAATTTTTAGTCAGCCTTTGAAGTTTTGTAACTTAAAGGTCAATGTCTGTTTCATGTCACTAAGTACCTTTTGAAGTGTAGTCATTCTGTGGTAACTGCTAAAATGAAGTATTCTAATCTGTTTTGAATAAGAGTTTTCAGTAACATGTTTCAAAAGACTTATGAAAGGTAGCCCAGGTGTGCTAGGATGTTTTTAAACAGTGTCTTATTCTGTTTCATTGGTCTGATAGCATCTATGCTATTGGTGATGTAGTTGCTGGACCTATGCTGGCCCACAAAGCTGAGGATGAAGGCATTATTTGTGTAGAAGGCATGGCTGGGGGAGCAGTTCACATTGACTATAACTGCGTTCCCTCTGTGATCTACACTCACCCTGAAGTGGCCTGGGTTGGAAAGTCAGAAGAACAACTGAAAGAAGAGGTATTGCTTGTTTTCTTTTACAACAAAAACTGCTTTTCCACCTTGGGCCTGATTTTACTCTCTGGTTGTTTATCTAGCTACTTTATCCAAATTTCTGCATTTGAATATATTGCTTAGGGGGGTGTAAGTGAATGATGCTGTTGTGCATCCCACTCTCCCAAGAACCACAGTTCTCTTTAATGACTTGCATTCTGTGACATTAATATTTGTTTGTTTGCAAATTAATCTGTTTTAGTACACTCTTATACTACTTCTGGTGATTGTTCATGTACATTCCTCTGTGTCTCCTGTTTTAGTTCTGTATTGCTTCTCCTCATGTATGTAACAGTTGGTTACATTGTTTTCATTGGTCATTAACTCAGTAAAACATCTGTTTTGCAGGGTGTGGAATACAAAATTGGGAAATTTCCATTTGCTGCAAACAGTAGAGCAAAGACAAATGCTGACACAGATGGCATGGTGAAAATACTTAGTCAAAAGTCTACAGACAGGATGTTGGGTGCACACATTTTAGGCTCAGTAAGTGTCATCAATTGTGCTTTCTTGGCCTTGTGATGTTCTTATTTAGTGTTGCATAGTTGTTGAAATTAGAACTGGTGTTTGTGAACAGGAAGGTTTGAGTTCATTACTTTTTTTTAATGTTCTGCACCCCTTTCCACATTTTAGTTACTTTGGTGTAACTAAGAAGAAAGCCCAGCTTTTTTTTCTCCTCTTGAATTGCTGTGGTTATTTGGTTTCTTTGGCCATTTTTGTGTGGTGAGATTTTTTGGTGGTGGTGTGGTGTTTTGTTTTGTTTTTATGAATACTGCCAAATACTTGAGGGAGCAGCAGAAATTGCTGATTCAACTTTTGGAAGTTGAGGGAGCTGAAAAGACTGTGGCTTTTTCATTGGTGTTTTCTTTTTTTCCTTCTCTCCAGCTAAAGACTTCAGCAAAGGTGGTAATCTTAGGCTGCAGTCACCAAATCTGGGGTCAGTAATTTGTGGAATTTAGAGTAAAGAAACCTTTGGGATTTCTCCTGCTTAGGAGATTTTTGGGTTTTTTTTGTCAAAGTTTAGACCCTTATCTTTCTCTGTTTTGTTTTTTAGCTGTAAATATTTTTCTTTTTCAAAATATATATTCTGCAAATATGTTTGCAGAAACACTTCCATACATTTTTGTGTACAGCTTTCTTCAAGAGAAACACCAAACTGTTCTCAATAAGATTTTTATGTTAGTTATTTTCTCTTGCAATTGCAGTAATTTAGAAACCAACATGCCTTAAAGGAAACACAGCTTTGTCCGTCTCATACCAACAAATCTAATTTTCTTCATTAGGAAAGGACTGAGGGGAAATCTTATGGTCATGGATCTAAGTACTAAGTATACTTAGTATTAGTATATAGAGGAAATTTAACTATTTTTGACTCCTCAAAGATACATTCTCTTAGTAAATATGCATAAATACAGCAAATAGAAATGAGGGTGTAGGTGCAGTAACATGCTTTTTAAAATCTAGTTATCTATTTAACTTTTCAGGGAAACACTGAAGTTTTGGGTAGGTTTTCTTTCATGGAAAAATGCCCAGCTTTTGCGCAACTCTGAGGCATGTGAGAACAAGTACTCTCATCAATGTTTAGATTTAAGCTGGGTTTTAGCACAGTCACCAAAAAGATTAAGTACTTATGACTTATATTAGAACACAGATGGAAGTGCTGGTTAAAACATAACTTTACTTTTTTAGCAGAAAATTCTTATAAATAAGCTGTTACTGATACAGCAGAATCTGGACAACTGTGTGAGGATTTGTGCTAATTGCAAGTACCATTAAATTACAGGGTGCTGGTGAAATGGTGAATGAAGCTGCCCTTGCTATGGAATACGGAGCATCGTGTGAAGATGTAGCCAGGGTTTGCCATGCCCATCCAGTAAGTGTTTTCTAAAGGGACTGTTGAACATCATTACACACACATGCTGTTACTCCATGTAGCTGTTAATGACTTGTAACTTTTTGTGTTTGTTCTCTACAGACGGTGTCAGAAGCCTTCAGGGAAGCAAACCTAGCAGCATCCTTTGGCAAAGCTATCAACTTCTAAAATGAAAGAGCAGATCTTTGTACATATATAGTACATCTCTGAAAATGGACTGTGGGCCCTTATGGAAGGCTGAGTCTGAGGATTTTAGGACTGACTTAAGTGAATATCATAATTTTAAACATCAGATATTTAAACAAGTAGAGTTTGGAACAAGTGGAATTATCCAGTCTCTGTAAATTAAATACTTAAAATTACATGTTTATTTACACAATGAATGTTGCAGAAAAGCAGCCTGACAGAACTCTTTTCTTTTCCAAAACCAAACGTTTTGCTGCTGCATGGGATTATCAGGTGTGCTGGTCAGAACTCTGGATAATTGTCCAGAATACTTTGTGTTTTCTTATTTGAAGTAGTGACACAATAAACCAGTTAAATGCTGGCACTTAAAATGCCACTGGCACTTAAAATGCCACTGTCACTTCCGCACAAAAAATGTGTTTTCTTCTGAAGGGATTAACTTTGGTATTTAACCTTCTTCTTGCCTATGAGTACCAAAACTTGTTTTGACCTAGTAGTGTTGGGATGCTGGGAGAGGAGGGGCTCGTGTAGATCAATTACAATTATATTCACTTTCTAAAGAGAAAATTACTCTCTGTGTGATTCTCCATGTCATGTTTTCATATTGAAAACTTGTTAGGGGAAAATCTGAGTGCTGATTGAGAAATGAAAGATTGAAGACAAATTCATTGTACTGCTACCTAATTTTTTTTGGTTTTAAAGCTTCCATTGTCCAGCTCTCTTAAACTTGAAATGCTAAAACTGGGTAGTGAAGCAGTGTTTGCTGTTAAGTGCTATGACTTGAGGGTTCTTCTGCACCTTCCACCCATAAGGGCTGCAGTGTCAGCTCTCCACACAATTAAGATACACTTTCTTCTCTTCTGTTTTCTATTTTGTTCTCCCTTTCTGTCTCTTCTGTAGCAAGAGAGCTTAATAAATATTTGACATGACTGGAGGGTCTTCTTGGATTTTGTTTGCTGATTGGATCCTTGTATTGTCTAGGTTGTTGATTATGTGAGGAAGCTCACAAACAGATGGCATACTTGGAAGATCTTTAATATGTATATGGAGCATGCCTAAATCCAGTAGTTCATTTTAACTTTTCCAAGGTGCCATTACTTCTTTTTTGTCAGGTTCTTCTGCCTTGAAGAAAACCTTAATACCTGCTGGTATTGTGCATGTCCTTTTTCATTATGCCAATGGAATGAGAAGCGTACATTCAGAAAGTGGTGCTACAGCAACTTGGTTTTGTGTATAGACAAGATAGTTGTATCTTTCTAGTTTGCTTTAATAGCTGCTTATTCAAGTATTGATCCATTATCCATAGTGAGTGATGGAGATGGATGCCAGCATTACCATACCAGTTAATTGGCAAAACACCAGTTACTCCTCTTCACTGTGATTTATTTTCTTAACTCCTACTTTAAATGTAGATGGGTTTAAACCATGACACCTCATTAAGCTTATCACCATCTGATTCATGGGTATGCTGGGTTAGTGAATTAATACGGACCTGCTTTCAGGTGTTAGTAGGAAGCTGCTGAATGGAAAGCAAAGCTGAGACAACAGGGAAGAAAAGCTTGATTCTTCCAATATTTCAGAATCACTTCTAGCTTAACGCAAGTATATGTTAAGTGTTAATCATGTGATTTGCAAGTTCTTCCCAGAAGCCTTGCTCTTGGAGTAACAGTTTTGTGTCCACTCCCTCCACCTCCTGAATACTTGTAGCAGCCTTACTGCAATTCATTATTGAATTGCATCGGTTACAAAAGTTTGTGTGTCATTTTATGTTAAATGAAGCTTGAAAAGCCTGGGAAACCTACAACCAGTAATACTACTAAGTCTGTACTGGAGACTATAGTTTTCCAGACATTTAAAAATAAAAGTCAGGGCCTTAAAATTATTTTTGTTACTTCTCTCACTGTCATTCCCATTCTTTTTAAGTTTACAAAAAAGTGTCTGTGAAAGTAAAATGAGCTCCTGAGCAATTTGTCAGTGGTCTCATGGCAGGCCTGAGTGCTGCCAAGTTGGCACTTTGTAGCAGATGCTGAGTGTACTGTGAACAGTGCATGATGCTATTTGTGATGATCAATTCCTTCAAAGGATTTTTTTTGTTGTGGTGTGTGTGACCTCTGGAGCTTAGGGGCAATTACTTATTTAACCATAATGTTCTTCAGTTTGCTTAGGTGGTGCTGTATCCTGCCGTAGTTGTTCTGATTTTGATGATGTTAGTCAAGGTTAGGTAAAGTGTCAGTCAAAGAACATACACAGAATCCTGGAGTCAGCGTTCACAGTTAGGATGTGCAAACACATTGCTGTTTTGGGTGCTGATTTGTGTAGCTGATGAATGTTTGTAGCTGTAAATCAGTTTGTGCCATACTGTACAGCTCTGTGAAGGTGCACTGTAATACAGCAACTTCAAGCTGAAGTCATGGTGAACTGGATGCTACTCCTGCACATCATTTGTGTTAAGTACAGGCTGTTCTTAGAGCTGTCTGTATACAACTCCTCAGCTGTTTGCATTATATGCCCTGTGAACTTCTGTAGTTCTTTCCCAGGAAGGCCTAATCCTCAGATGTTTTTACACTAATGCATGCAGCATGAGGCACCAACGAGGAGCTCGAGGCTTTGTCCCAGTCCCATAAATTTGACATCATTGGGATAATAGGGATCATAGGTATAAGTGAAACCTAGTGGGGTAAGTCCTGCGTGGCATGCCTGTTGGATGGTCAGGAGGGATAGGTGAGGCTGAGGGGTGTCACTGTGTGTAATAGAAGGGATAGAATGTTGGCAATGGCACCATTAAGAGCCTCTGCATAAGAATCAAGGGGCAAACAAATAATGTAGGTGATAAATATATGCAATATATTTATACAATATGCAAATAATGCATATTGTGGGAGCCTACTATAAACTTCCCGGCCAGAATGATGATACAGATGAATTATTCTTTGAGGAACTAAGGGATACTTCCAAATCAACTCTCCTTGACCTTATGGGGAACTCCAGCTTGCCAGAAATTAACTGGTAACATCACACCTGGGCCAGAAGATTCCTAAACACCTGGATGCCAACTTTATGGGACAAGTTCTAAGGGAGATGACTCCGAAAAATGCCTTCCTTGATCTACTGCATGTCAACAGAGTGCATCTCGTAAGTGGAGAGTGGCAGCTGTCTTGGCCACAGCAACTATAAAGGGATTGAGTTTAAAATCTCTGTTGACAGGAGGAAAAATGCCAGCAAAACCTCAGCTTTGGACATGAGGAGAGCAGAACTTCAGGCTGCTCAGGGAATTAGTCAGGTCCCCTGGGAAAATGCTGTCTCAGGTGTTGAGGTGTCTTAGTGCTGGTCACTTCTTAAACATCACCTCCTAAGGACATAAGAACAGGTACTTCCCAAGTGTTGGAAGTCAAAGAGGTGAAGCTTGGCTGAACAGGAATGTTGTCTTGGACTTAAGATGAAAAAAAGGAAGATGTATGCCCAGTGGAAGCATGGTCAGGTGCCAGAGGAAGAATACAGAGATGCTGCTGGCCACTGTAGGGAGAAAATTCATGTGGCCAAAGCTCAACTGGAATTGAAGTTGCCAGAGCTTGGGGGATAGATAATAAAAAGAGTTTTTTCAAATATATTAATAGCAAAAGACATAGCATTATCCCATTAAATAATGAGGATGGTCATGTCACAAACAGGATCAGGGACAAGGCTGAGGTGTTTTAACATGGTCTTTGCCTCTGTCTTCAACACAGATGAGGGAACAAGGGGGTCTCACTGCCCTGAGCTGGAGGACTATGTGCAGGATGAGCTCCAGCTGCAGCTGGATCCCTACAAAATCTATGGGGCCTGATGGGATTCATCCAAGGACCCTCAGGGAGCTGCTGCTGTCATCACAAAATGCCTGTTGGCTTTTTGTGTTTTGTTTTGGGTTTTTTTGTTGGGTTTTTTTTGAGCAGTCTTGGAAATTTAGAGAGCTCTCAAGCTGACTGGAAACTGGTGGAAGTTGTCCATGATTTTTAAGAAGGGTAAGGGGGACCCCAGAAACTGGCAGTCAGTTAGAGGCCTGTCAGTCTCACTTTAATGTCTGATAGAGCTATGGAGTTTATTCTGGGAGGTATCAAAAAACACTTGAAAGACAATGCAGCCATTGGTTACAGCTACCATGCCTTCAGGGGAGGAAAGTCCAACTTATCAAACCTGATTTCTTTTTATGACATGATAACCCTCATAGCTGGTTAAGGGAAGCCAATTGATGTACCCAGTTTGGATTTCAGCAAAGCTTTTGATACTGTCTCTCAGAGGAACCTTCTGGACAGGCTATCCAGCACACAGCTGGATAAACACATCGAAAGGTTATGGGTGGCATCAGTGGTGACCTGTCACTAGTGGAGTTCCACAGGGCTCAATCTTCAGCTCTGTGCTCTTCATTAATGACCTGGAGGCAGGACAGGAAGGGATACTAATCAAATTTGCAAATGATACAAAACAGTCACTATCTGTTGACTTCCTACGAAGGCAGAGAGGCCCTGCATAGAGACCTTGACAAATTATAGAACTGGTCAATCACCAACCATTAAAAGTTCAGCAAGGGAAAGTGCCAGATTCTGCACCTGGATATATGGACAGACTGTGGAATGAGAGGCTGGAAAGCAACGCTGTGGAAAGGGACCTGAGTGTCCTGGATGATGGAAGGTTGAACATAAGTCAGCAGTGGAGGCAGCCAGGAGGGTCACCCATCCATGGGGGCATCAGGCACAGCATTGCCAGCTGGGCAAGGGAGGGGACTGTCCCTCGCTGCTCTGCACTGGGGTGGCCTCACCTCGAGTGCTGGGGCAGTTTTGGGCACCACAATATAAAAACTATTAAACTATTAGAGAGTATTTAAAGGAGGGCAACCAAGATGGTGAAGGACCTTGAGGAGAAGCCATATGAGGAGTGAATGAGGCCACTTGGTCTGTTCAGCCTGAAGGAGACTGAAGGGAGACCTCACTGCAGTTACAACTTCCTCATGAGAGGAAGAGGAGGACAGACACTGATCTCTGGTGACCAGTGCTGAGGGAGTGGTCTGAAGTTGTGTCAGGGGAGGCTGATGTTGGATAATTAGGGTGGGTGGGCACTGGGAAGGGCACCAGCCCAGGGCAGTGCTCATAGCACCAACCTGACAGAATTTAAGGAGTCTGGACAGTACTCTCAGGCACATGGTGTGACTCTTGGTATGTCCTGTGCAGGGTCAGGAGTTGGACCCACTCCAGCTCTGCTTATTTTGTGATTCCAAGCTTGGTTTATCACATAAATTTGGTGCATTCATACTTTCAGTGCTGATCTCTGTTTTCACTCTACATCTCAAGTGTTTCATAATCAGTGACATGACAGTGGGGGGTACACAATCCTTTTTGAGTACTGTGGTGTAACAATCACACGTGGGTGGTATTTCTTCATTCTCTGGTAATTTGGTCTGAGTCACCATACTATATTTCATAGTAATAGGAACCCTTCTTTAGAATTACATAGTTCAAGCCAAGATTTTATTAGATCTCTAACCAGTTTAAGAACAAGACTTGCTAAAGGACTAACTGATGTACCATTGCAGCTACTGAAAATAGGAAGGAACTTAATAAGTCATACTAGGTACATATAGTGATACAAAAGTACTGTTTATTTTCAATATCAAAAAGTTACTTTTCTTTGGTTCTGTGGCTTTAAAGTTCAATATAAAACCTGTTCACCTCATCAGGTCTTAGTGTAATGTCAAAAAGAACTAGTATAATACTTGTAAAATCCATCCTGAACACAAGCATTTCCCACTCCTGTTTATAAGCAGGTGCTATAAACAGCAACCTTTTGGCTGATTGTCTGTAAGAGGGAGCGAACTGTCTCTTCCAGCTCCACCAACTGCTTGGCTTTGTCTTCCAGAACTTTTTGATTGTTTTCATATGTATTTTCCAAATCTGTAGGC